ATGCCTATTAAGACTTGACCTAAGACAGAAGCTCTTACCACATATTTCACATTTGAATGGCTTCTCCCCAGTATGAATTCTCTGATGTTTCTGAAGCTGGAAATTGTGCATGAAGGCCTTCCCACATTTCTCACAATTATAAGGTTTCTCTCTCATGTGTAATTTGCAATGAACTTTAAGTGCTGATCTACATCTGAAGCCTTTCCCACACTGCTCACATTTGAATGGTTTCTCTCCGGTGTGGACTCTCTGATGAGTTTGCAGACGTGAGCTCTGACTAAATTCCTTACCACACACATCACACTTGTAGCATTTCACTCCCATGTGGACTCTCTGATGAATATGAAGGGCTGAGATGTAACAGAAGCTTTTTCCACACTCATCACAGGTATGAGACTTCTCTCCTGAATATAACTGCTGAGGAAGATTAAAGATGGAAACATCATTGAAGGACTGTTTACACTTTCCACCCTGGGAAGGTTTTTCTCTTGTGTGAACTGTAGATAGTCTTTCCTCAATCTGGGAGGAGCCATCATCTTGTTCAAATAACTGAGAGTTATTTATGGTGGAATCTTGAGACCTGGTTAAGTCACTTGCAATTTGTTCCCAAATTTGCTTGCTGGAAAATTCTTCATGTGTTCCTGCCTCTGGAACAGTCTCCATTTCAGTTTGGATCTTGCCTATAAGGACACAGAATTAAGACATGTGGACAAGTAGGCCGGGCACGGTGGCTCACACCTGTAATCCCAGCACTTTGGGAGGCCGAGGCAGGTGGATCATGAGGTCAGGAGTTCGAGACCATCCTGGCCAACATGTTGAAGCCCCGTCTCTACTAAAAATACAAAAATTAGCCAGGCGTGGTGGCATGCACCTGTAATCCCGGCTACTCAGGAGGCTGAGGCAGGAGAATTGCTTAAATCTGGGAGGCAGAGGTTGCAGTGAGCCAAGATCAGGCCATTGCACTCCAGCCTGGGCAACAGAGTGAGACTCTGTCTCAAAAAAAACAACCAAAAAACAAAAACAAAAAACAGAAACAAACAAAAAACACCAAACGAGACATGTGAACAAGTAAAGTCTTTGTTCAGTGTTTTCAAGACTTCACACTTAGGATGTGGGATTTAACTTTAATGAACATTCATTTTCTGTTTTCCAAGTGCACCCTGGTTTCTGGTTTGCATGAGACCAATTTAGAACCACACCATGTCTCACACATAAAATTCTGGCTAGAAATAAAATACTTGTTTAAAAAATTAATATATACACTTCACTTGTTGCTATTTCTAGTGAATTTTTTAGTCAGTCTAAAATGTTGTGTGGTAAATCATAAAGCTAAAATATTACATACGTAGTGAAATATGAATCCAAAGGAACTTTAAGGAGAAGCAATAACAGAATACGTAGTTTATATATTTGTCTGTCATACATCCTTACAAAGAAGTTAACCTAACTTGAAAGAGGTCAGGATGTTGTCAGCATCTGAGACGTAATCTCTAGGATCTTGCAGTGTCATGCCTGAAGAGAGTCTCTTTGCTTGAAGGTAAAACCTGGGTAACTCTCGAGAGTGAAACAATATTATTTAGGGTTGTGATTGGCCACTCCTTTGGCGCATGGCGGGTGGTACTCCTCACATCAGAAAGAACATCAGTGTGATTCATGCAGGGGCTTTACCTCACGGGGAAGCAGTGAACCAGGAGACTAAATAACCACATGGGAATCAACCAACCAATTATGGCTATGTAATGGAGCCCCAGTAATTACTCTGGATCCCAGCACTCAGGTAAGTTTGCCTGATTGGGAGTTATCTGTGTCTAAGTCACATGCTAATCCTGGCAATGTAACATACCCCACTCCACTGGGAGAATACAATAGAAAATAAGGATTTGGTACTTCCTTGGACTCTGTCTTACTTGGTTTCTCTCTTGGTTAACTATAATATGCATGTTTTCCCTGTAAGAATCAGGAACTGTGAGGATAAAAGCATTCAGTGAATTCTAAGAGTCTTTCTAGCAAATTACTAAACATGAAGATACTTTTGAAAAGCTGCCGAATGTGCACTTGATGTGAAGTGAGAGCAGTCCTCTGTAAAATGTCCCATTAAACTTCGTAGTTGGTTGAACTGTTCACAATGTTCACACCAAACACCTCAGAGTGTTTAATATCTATACATTCAAAGTATTCCCCCACAATAATTTTACACATGTATAAAAACACTTAATCTTATTTTTCTGTTTTGATGTGGACAGTAACTTGGTTATCTCAAAGAGTACACGGACAGACAACTGTAGTTCTGAGGGGAATCTGAAAGGCTGTCCTTCCAGAGGTTCACAAAGGGGGATGCTCCTGAGCAGACAACCAAAGTTGTTAAGAATCACGTGGAATGAAGAGAAAGCCTATGACGTAAACAGGCTTTGTAACTTTTTATACTCAAGACTATGCCTCAATGAGCTGAAATAAAGTTAAAACCCACAATAAACATTTACAAAAAAAGAACTAGAATGAAAATTATTGCAGCATTATGACAAGCAGGAAAAATGTCATTACATGAATTGCTTACTAAAGCCACTCACGCACATCTACACACACAAAAAATGTTTGTCTGGGTTACATTGAAAGGTGTGTTTCTTACTACGGCTCATGCTCACAAAATGTTTAGAACTTTGTCAGGATATTACCAAGTCCTGAATTTGTCAGGATATTACCAAGTCCTGAATTTTTCCAATGGAAAGATAACTTCCAAATTTTTCCAATGGAAAGAATCTTGGAAAATATTAATTGGTAAGTATGTACCTGTCAGTACACAGTAGTACATGGATATATGTAATATGATGTCACTTGTAAATAAGAAGTCTTTAAAGAGAAGGGAGAGTATCCTTTGGGAGGTTTCTATTTTGAGAGCAGTTTCCCAATTCCTTTCAGGTCATAAAATTCACGAGATGAAAATACAATACTCTATCTCTGTAAATATAAATAAAAACTTCTGTAAAATCTATATTCCTTCACATTTTGACAATTAAATTTGTATAAAGATGCAGAAATAGACACCACATTTTTTGAAGAAAAACATGCAGAAATATAAGCAACATTCAGCTCACAGATATAAAGGATTTCTCACAGACGTAAACATGGTCCTTAAGGAAAGTTCCAGGGTAAGCCCCATGGAAGGCATGTTTCTCAGTGTGGTCATGAAAACAACGCTTGAAAGTTTCCACGGGATGTGGGTCAACAGAACACACAGAAAACCAACCATGTCAAGAGAATCTAAGAAAGTCAAAATTGAATAAGCAGCCATACACAGACAAAAACAAAAACAAAAACAAAAACTGTCCTGCAACATACAGTCAGCCTCCATATGTGTGGGTTCAGCATACATGGATTCAACCAGCAGTGCATCAGAAGTATTTAGAAAAAAAAAAAATTCCACAGAGTTCCACACAGCAAAACTTGAATTTCTCACATTGAGTCCTATACATTGAATCCATGTGAATAAAGCAATGGGTAGGCATTGCATTTGGTGTTATACCTAATCTAGACATGACTTAAAGTATATGAGAGGATGTGTGTAGGGTATACACAAATACTTTACATGTAGAAGGGACTTGAGCATCCTTGGCTTTTGGTATCCACAAGGGGGCCCTGGAATCAAACCCCATGGTTACCAAGGCATGACTATATAACATTCACTCTGGTATATCTGTCATTTATTAGCTATCTCCATGATTCTTACAGACAGTCAAGACCTCTCATCCATTAATTCATTCACAAGAATACCAAATATTTACAGATACCTGCCATGTACCAGGAGTATTCTAGGTGCTGAAGACGCAGTCATAAAGAAACAGATAAATACCTTCAGGAGACTACATTGTAAAGGGGAGAGGTGATCTATCAGTAGACAAAAATACATGAGACGCAACACATGTAGGCCAAGAAGAGTAAAGATAGGATAGTATTTTCAATAAGGTGCTTGGAGACGACCTCTCCTATGATATTAAAACTGAGCAGAGAGCTGCATAAACTAAAAGAGGGATCAGTAAGTTTTGTGGGGACAGTGTATTCCAATCAGAGAGAAGAGCAAGTGGGGCTTGGAGGCAGAATCTTTTGTGGTAGAGAAAATAATCATTCCTGAAAGATGTCTACATCCAGTCCTCAGAACATATGAACATGTTACGTTCCACAGCAAGGGAGATTAAGATGCCATTGAGGTCACTAGCCAGCTAAGCAGAAAGTGGAAGGGTCATCTTGAATCATCCAAGATTGATGAATACTATCACAAGGGGCCTGAAAGGTGAAAGAGGAAGGCATAAGAAGAGTGGCAGAGGGAGCGTGACTATAGTAGAATGGTCAGGGATGCAACGTAGTTGCCTTTGAAGATGGAGGAAAGGAAATAAGAGTCAAGGAGTGTAGACAGTGCCTAGAGACTGGTAAACCAAAATGAAGTCTTCTCCCCATGAATATCCAGAAAGGAACGAAGCCCTAAGACAGCTTGATTTTTGCCCAGTGAGATGTGTCAGACTTCAGGCCTACAGAAGAGAAAGATAAGTGTTTCTTGTTCAATCTGCTGAGTTTTACATCACTGGCCACAACAGGCAATACAACGTCCTTGGCAGGATAGAGAAACAGCAGGGAGGACAATGTGCCTGGAAAAGATGGAGCAAGTGGGAGAGCACAGGAGATGCAGTCACGCAGTGTGGGATGAAGAGCAGATCACAGGGTCTACAAAAGCCACTTAAAGAGGTTGTAACACTAATAAAAACAAGAAGCCAGAAAGGCTTTTGAGCTGAGTAATGGCAATGTGACTTCCATTTCCTAAGGATCACTTTCACTACCGTGAGAATAGATGGCACGGTGGGAAGGGTTGGAGCAGGGGCATCAGCAGGAGGAGGTTGTAATAATCCAGGAAACAGGTTCAGCCATTTACCCCAAAATGCTGGAAATGGGCATGGACAGAACTAAAACAGACAGGAATAACATGCAGGGACACACAACTGCTTGGTTCTTACCAGAAGTCCCTTCTCTTTGGCTTGTTGTCTCCATCACCCAAAACTTTTCTTCCCTTAGGAAGTGGAAAGTATCTCCATGGAATGGTTGATGACCTGTGAACAGGCAAAGTCACATGCTTAATCCCAACACGTTCAAGGTAACATCATGTTGGTGCAAACGTAATTGCGGTGTACCATTACTTCCAATGACAAAAACCACAATTACTTTTGCACCAACCTAATAGCTAGGCAAAATTTACTGGAAATGTAGGTTCTCACTGCACACTCAAACTTGAAAACCCTAGGATACAAAACCATTCCTGGGGTCTGACATTCCATTACAGAGGGCGCCTGTCCTCACCCACTGAGAGCAGGTTCCTGAAGTTCTCCAGCATCACATCTCGATACAGCTTCCTCTGGGCAGGGTCCAGCAGCCCCAGCTCCTCCTCAGTGAAGACCACAGCCACGTCCTTGAAGGTCACTGCCTCCTACAACATCAAGCAGATGTCACCTCGATCTTATAGCCAAGGACTATTGGTAGACAGCAGCATTGCAATGGCACAAGGGACAAGTGTAAAGTTGTTTTGGATCTTGAGACACAGGTCAGCTTACAGATTTACGACTTATTCTGTTTGTGTCCTGACAATGACTGATTTTGCTGAGCTCCACCAGAAATGCAATGATGAAAATGAGGCTGAGGCAGGAGAATCACTTGAAACTGGGAGGCAGAGGGTGCAGTGAGCCAAGATTGTACCACTGCACTCCAGCCTGGACAACAAGAGCGAAACTCTGTCTCAAAAACACACAGACAAAAAAGAATAGAAAGAAAATGAGGTCCTATATTTTTACTTTGTGCGCTCATTGAGTCTACTTATAAGTAACCCTCTAAAACTCTAAATGCTGCATCCTGGGCTTCATATATATATATATATATATAAAAGTTTCAATGAATCTTGCCTATTGCTCCAGCAACATTTAGTAATTCAGTCCCAACCTGGTTTGATAACACTCATTGTTCTCTCTCATATTTTAACCCCGGATGTGTTCACATTTCTTTACTATTTGCCCAACAAACAAGTTTTAGGTAACTGGGCAATTTTCAGTATTACCTTAGATTGACTCTGCCCACCTTGGTTGCTCATAGCTCTCAATAATAACCATAGAATGTGCTACAAATGCAATGTACGTGTCCTTCCTAGGGAAGATAACATCTCAAGTGAGGGAGGAGCTTCCCAGTAAGCTATATTGCCCCTGAGGCACATAATCCAGTACACGTTGCCTCTTGGGGTGCCTCAGCTGAGCTGCAAATGGGGCGCTTGCAATTCAGACTCTACCCACTCCAGGCAGCTTTCTTGAGCCTTGGGGGACTGGCTCACAGGGAACTGCAGGCTTTTGTTCTCCCTTGCTGCCTACTTGTAAGCAATAAATCTGCTTTATGTAATTAGTCGTGTATTGAGTGTACTCTTCTACTGAACTCATGTACATTGGTAACCCGTGAACCTGCTCCACAGAATTGGCACAGCAGGGTCTGGTCCGACAGAACCATGCATTAGCAAAGGGGGAGCATAATGCCCCCCAGCTTGTGGTCCAGGGCAGTAATGGCAGCTTGGGGGCACAGGAGCTGGAAAGAAGCTGCATGATTTATGGGAAAAAACAGAGTGATAAGTGGGACACAGGTTACCCCTCTATAGATGTGAGCTGGCTGCATGGATTCAGAAAGAGAGGATGGCAAATGAAAACAGGGGAGCATGGCGTGTAATATACTGACTGTGGGGCTTTTAAGTAATCGCATATTCCTGGGACCAGAGGGCTCTGGAAGTAGGTGAAGTGGGTTATCAGAAAGTCTCTGAGGCAGCTAAGAAGAAGGGAGCCAGTAAGCATGATGTGGGCCTTCGAGAAAGAGAAACTCACGATCTGCAGGACAGGTATAGGCAATATCATGAGGACATGCTATTTTGGCTATCCCGGATTGTTGGTGAGGGAGGACAGATTTTTCTATCCCAAAAAGAACAGCACAATTAGGGATGGAGCCCGGTCTCTGGGTCTTCACCATTCCTATCAAGATAAGAGGGAAGGCCAGGTGCGGTGGCTCATGCCTGTAATCCCAGCACTTTGGGAGGCTGAGGCAGGCGGATCATCTGAGGTCGGGAGTTTGAGACGAGCCTGACCAACATGGAGAAACCCCATCTCTACTAAAAATACAAAATTAACCTGGCATGGTCGCACATGCCTGTAATCCCAGCTACTCGGGAGGCTGAGGCAGCAGAATTGCTTGAACTCAGGAGGTGGAGGTTGCAGTGAGCTGAGATCGCGCCATCGCACTCCAGCCTGGGTAACAAGAGTGAAACTCTGCTTCAAAAAAAAAAAAAAAAAGAGGGAAAAAAAGAGGGAGGAATTCAAATATTAATATTTCTTAGGGGAAAAATGAAACTAATGACATCAAAGCTTTTAGGAAGAACTCAGTGACTCATGATGCCTGTTTGCTTGTGGTGCTTATGTTTGGGGGTGAATCCTTTGGGCTACTTCAGGTGTCAGTGACTGTGGTTCCCACTCTGAGTGTATTAGAAGCGGTGGCATTTGGGCTGTTCAGACACAGAACATCACCGCTGCCTCAGGGGACATGTGTCCTTGCATGTAATTTTTGAACCATAACAGTGGGGCATATCCACTCCTGCCTACCACCTAAGCCACCCAAGCCCCGGTGGGTTCAGCAAAAGCACTGCTGCATGCTACGTGGAGAACAAGACATACTTCAGTAATTCAGGAATTGCTTGCCACAGAGAAAAATGTTACACCGACCAGGTCAAAATGTAACAGCCCAGTTTTTTAGCTGGTCAGACAGACCTCCAGGGCATGGAGAGGAACAGCTGACTATGGAAGGCTGAATGCCAATGTCACATGGATGGGAAGCCAAACAAATATCCCAGATACAGGCAAGCAAAAAGTCTTAACTGTGTCAGCACCCACTAATGGAACGGAGACTCATCAGCCGATAGGCCTTTGGGTACTGCAGAAAGCACATAGCCCACTTGGTGTTCATTTAGCCCCACAGACACTGAGTGGCAAAGCCATCAACTTTGAATGGGACCCTTTGTAGTAGCAGGCCTTGGAAGCCATTCAACCAGCCAAGGCCCAGACATGCCTTTACACCTTCAGAGCACGCTAGTCCAATGAAGGTACAAGGTCCATAATCTGCATGTGTACTGACTAGAGTCTGTGAAAACAAAACGTTGACACTGAGGTGCACCAGTCTCTGAGATTTTTGATATGTTGCCTAAGGCAGCCACAGGGGATGCTTGTATAAATGGCAATTCTTTGCTTGCTATTGGGCACTGATGGGGACAGTGCATTTTACCGCTGGAGTACACATGTGACATAAACTGCCCATTCTCACCTGGGCCCTTATTCACCCTACACATAAAGTTGGGCAGGCTCCATTTGATAAGTGGTAAAGCTCTACTATCATAGGCAAATGGTACATTCAGCTGGGTGCATGGCTCACTCCTGTAATTCCAGCACTTTGGGAGGCCAAGGCGGACAATCACCTCAGGTCAGGAATTCAAGACCAGCCTGGCCAACATGGTGAAACCCCATCTGTAGTGAAAATACAAAAATCAGCCAGGTGTGGTGATGGGCGCCTGTAATCCCAGCTACTGGGGAGGCTGAGGCAGGAGAATCGCTTGAACTCAAGAGGCGGAGGTTGCAGTGAGCCAAGATCACACCACTCCACTCCGGCCTAGGCAACAGAACAAGACTCCCTCTCAGAAAAAAAAAAAAAAAAAAAGGAAATGGTACATTCACGATCAGACCCAGAAGGCTATATGAACAAATGGCTAGCTTAACAGCAGAGACCAAATGACCCATAAGCGGGGTTCTGGCGCCTCCTGTGGCTACCTGGGGCCCCAGATTCACGTGTGCCTACTGATGGTACAGTATGGTTTACAGACAGCTCTGCGAAACAACAAGCAGACAGGCTCCACTGGGCTGTGACCAGCATCTGGCCAGTGAATGGCTATCTTAAGGCTGAGACTGAACATGGCCCTTTTGCCTGATGGACCAAACTACATGCAGTGGTGACTGCAATGCAGGCAACTGCTACTACCATATCTTGCTACGTTTTCATGAACTCTGGGCTATTGTCAGCAGTCCAGCCATCTGGTCAGGAGTATGGCTATTGACTGGGTACACTGTGTGTGGACAAAAAGCATGGCAATAGCTTGCTGCCTAGGAGGGATAAATATATGTCACTCGTGAACACTGGGACTACCACAGCCTCCTTGAGAAGAACTGATATTGTGTTTTTGAACACCTCATGGAATTTCACTCTGACCAAGGAATATCCTTCATTGACCATGCAAAACAATGGGTGCCCTCTCATGAAATATGATGAACTTGGTGTGCACCCTGTCACCTGCAGGCCAATGGAGCTACTGAACCATAGAACAGGTGACTCATAAAATCACTGAAAGGCCGGGCGTGGTAGCTCATGCCTGTAATCCCAACACTTTGGGAGGCTGAGGCTGGCGGATCACGAGGTCAGGAGATCGAGACCATCCTGGCTAACACAGTGAAACCCCATCTCCACTAAAAATACAAAAAATTAGCTGGGCGTAGTGGTGGGCACCTGTAGTCCAGCTACTCGGGAGGCTGAGGCAGGAGAATGGCGTGAATCCGGGAGGCAGAGCTTGCAGTGAGCTGAGATCATGCCACTGCACTCCAGCCTGGGTGACAGAGCGAGACTCCATCTCAAAAAAATAAATAAAAATAAAATAAAATAAAATCACTGAAGAAGGGACAGACATTCCCATGGCCTGCTAGTAGGAGAGTACTCCTGTCTGACTAGGTTAACATGGACACTACACTCTGCACACCAGTCCCAAGGAAACAACTCACTGCCACGTGTGCTTAGAAATACTGAGCTTGATGGAAGTGGAGGTGGAGGCAGACATGGCAGCAGCCTGATTAGGCTGTGCTTCTGAGACCCCAATCTCAGTGTTCTCATCCATTCTTTTTCCTTTTAGAGTACACATTCTGGTATGGTTCGCGATTCAGGTCACCACAGTACCAGACAAAGCTCTCCCTGACTCTCATCTGGAGGCAATGCTTCCCTGGAAATCCCAGACTTCTGTGGGATCTCAGAGGGTTGAAGGATGAGACCATGGAACACCAGGGTGTTAGGGTCCCTCTAATGGTGCTGAAGATTACTGATCTTTCCATTTGGGTGGGTGTCACTAGTAGGCATGTCTGTTTGTACAGGACATGACCTCCCTTCCTGACTGAACAACTGAGGCAGGAAGGTCTGGGCCAAGCGACCAGGGGAATGGATGTCTGTAGTGGTAGTAGCCTCAGGGCAGGGACAGACAGACTGGGTCGCTGCACCACCTCAGCCCTCCGCCTATCCAACATCTGTCAATCTGTTGTTTCCACAAGGATGTGGTAGCAGAGCACAGCACACTCAGGTTCTCCCAAGCTGTGGCCACTTCAGGTCACCTGATCTGTTTTGGATTTGTTCTGTCACCAACCACAGTGACCCTCCTGTCTTGACTATGGTAAACCACACCAGCATCACTCACATCACAGTGTCCGCCAACAGAACCCAAGCCCTGGCTTACCAAGTGAGGACCTGGCACCTGCCACATGAGAGCGAGCTGGAGGTGCCCTATGGTAACTGGTACATGGCAGCACAATCACACAACCTAAACAAACAAAGCCATAGTGGGTTGGTGCTTTGCTGTACCACACTCATTTGACTACTTGGATGAGAGGTGTCCCACTGATGATAACGAAAGAGAAAAAGGAAGCGGCTGGGCTGGTGGTTCACACCTGTAATCCCAGCACTTTGGGAGGCTGAGGCGGGCAGATCACCTGATGTCAGGAGTTTGCGACCAGCCTGACCAACATGGAGAAACCCCGTCTCCACTAAAAATACAAAATTAGCCAGGCATGGTGGTGCATGCCTGTAATCCCAGCTACTTGAGGCTTGAACCTGGGAGGCGGAGGTTGCGGTGAGCCGAGATCACGCCACTGCACTCCAGCCTGGGCCACAAGAGCGAAACTCCATCTCAAAAAAAAAAAAAAACAGAAAAGAAGGAAGCACCTGGCACAGAAGAGATCCTCAAATGCCTGTTGTTCTCCTTGAGTCTTTCCAAGACTGAGAAAAACACATGACAGTATGAGTAGTGAGATGAAAATTGAACAGCAAGAGAGGCACGCCATACTCACGTTGCATGTGATCATTTTTCCACCTACTTCACGGAATTTGCAGAGTCCTCAGTTACGTAGTTTGAGCAAAGACAGAATTGTGCCTGGAATGTACCATGGAAGGCAGAGAGAGAGACATGAAAGGGTGGCCAGGGATGCTGCCCAACAATATGGATGTGAATTAGCACGTGAATGCTTAGGCTGTGCTTGTGAGACCCCAATCTCAGTGTTCTCATCCATTCTTTTTCCTTTTAGAGTACACATTCTGGTATGGTTCGCGATTCAGGTCACCACAGTACCAGACAAAGCTTACAGCAGCATTATTCATACTAACCCAAAACTGCACACAACAAAGAGGCCCTTGTATGGGTAAATAGAGAAATCTTGGCATATCCATACAATGAAATCTTATTTAGAATGTAAAGGAATGAAATACTGACTCATGTTACAACATACATGAAGCTTGGAAACATTATGTTAAGTGAAAGAAGTCAGTCATGGATCCTATGATTCCATTCAGATGAAATGTCCAGAATAGGCAAATGTATATATGGAGAAAGTAGATTAGTGGTTGAGGCAGATTTGAGGTGAGAATGAAGTTTAAATTAAATGAGCATGAAGAGTCCAACTGGGGGATGTAAAAGATCTAAACTGAACTACGATGATAGTTACTCCACAAAGTTCCTAAAGGTCACTGAATTGTACACCTGAAATGGGTGAATGCTATGCTATGTAAAATACACTGGAGTTGGAAAAAATAATTGTAATCTATATATCATTAAAATAAATAAGGCTGGATTCTGAGTCCATATTGATAGAATATTTATAGTTCAACAAACGAATGAATCAATGAAGGAGAAATGGAAACTCCATTTACAGCAGACTGTCCACTAATAATATATTTCCCTATGAGAAACTTTATAATAATTTTTTAAAAAGTAACGTTACAGTGGACAAATCTGAAAGACATGGTCTTGTCTAAGTGAACACAGTTGAAACAGCCAAAGAAGGGACAAACGAATCTCACTTGACCCTGTTATGTTCCATTGGAAAGGATACCTTAACACTTTTGTGGTATCTTCACCAATAATGGAGAATCTAAACTTAAAGGTGAAATATATCAGACAAGCTAAAAATGAATGTCTTTCTCCAAAACAACTTGCCTATACTCTTCAAACAACAATGCACATAAAAGACAAAGGATGTGGAATCCTTCCAGACTAAAGACAACTATGGAAATGTGACAGCTAAAGATGATACACAAAATTGAACTTTGGGGATAGAGATGGAGAGTGGGGAAGGGGGCAGTTATAAAAAGTTCAAATGAAAAACTGAACAAATTTAAATATGGAACTGCAGATTAGATTACATGGTATTAGATAATATGCTATCCAATACTATGTAAAAAATAACACTATAGTATTAGTAGTCTTTTAACAGATCTGATAAATTACAGATAACAATATTATTTAATATAATATCTACTATCATCTAGCATGTTATATGAAATGCTACACCAGCCCTTCTTAAATGCCTCTTAACAAGACATCCCACGATTACCCAAGTATGTGGGCTTCCTTGCTGCAGAAAGTTACAATCAGCTGTCTCTAGTTATAAGTATGTTCCTGGTGGTATTTGGCTGATGGATATGAACAAAGCAAACAAGAAAAATGTAAACACTTGGCAAATTTGGCTACAGAGTGCATGAGCAAAACTCCATCACACCCCCCGCAAAAAAAGAGTACATGAGAATTTCTTATACTGTTTTGCAACTTTTCTATAGCTCTGAAATAATATCAAATGTTTTGAAATATCAGGAAACAATCATAGGAATAATAACAATGAGATTAATAAGAATGAGCATGACATAACTTGAAAGCTCACTAGTGAATTCTCTTGGTGGTGTCTGGAAGTTTCCATAGTTAAACAGATAAGGGGAACACATTTATAATATTAGAATTTTGTTAGAATGTTTACAAATAAAATATAAATAATAATTTTGATCAAAAAGAAAGGCTACAAAGAAATGCATTCAAAACATAACATTTACTGTCTTTATATCCTGGATTCAAGGGGACTTAAAAATTTTTTTCTATTCCAATTTCTCTAGTTTCTGAATGCTCCGTAATAAAATGGCTCCACAACAATATGAAATATTAGTTAAAAAGTGAATGAAATCCTAGCACTTCGGGAGGCCAAAGCAGGTGGATCACCTGAGGTCAGGAGTTCGAGACCAGCCTGGCCAACATGGTAAAACTCCATCTCTACTAAAAATACCAAAAAAATTAGCTGGGCGTGGGGGCGGGCTCCTGTAATCCCAGCTACTTGGGAGGCTAAGGCAGGAGAATCGCTTGAACCTGAGAGACGGAGGTTGCAGTGAGCCGAGATCGCGCCACTACGCTCCAGCGTGGGAGACAGCAAGATTCCCTCTCAAAAAAATAAAAAAAGAAAAAGAAAAAGAAAGAAGAAAGAAAATAGTAGATAAGGTTAAAAAAAAAAAAAAAAAAAGCCAAAAACAAACAAAAACTCCTACAGAAGTCCAAGCCCCTGAGCCTTGCCTCAAGGTGCCTTCAATCAAGTCCTAACTTAGGTTCTCCACCTGCTCCCAGCTAGTTTCTTTGCCTCAGTGAGTATGCATTCAAGAGATTATCAACTGAGGCTCTGACCTGGACTGCCTAGGTTTCAACCCCTGCTTCACCTGTGTCTCACGCCCATCTTTAAAATTAAAAAAGCTGTACCCCTCCACAGTGCCACTGTGGAGATCATGTATTTTCGGGTATAAAGTACTTGGAATAAAGTTACCAATTAAGGCTTAATTATTATCGACACCCATGCCCGAGGGACAAATCCTACACTCTCTTGGTTGAGGTAAGCATCTCTGTCAAAGAAAAAAGCCAAGGATCACTCACTTAGAGCTTTGCCCTCAGTAGCCAAGAAGTCCCTTCCTGCTGCTCTTTTAGAAAGGTCGGGCTTGGGGGAAAAGAAAGCTGTGAAACACCCTGACCGTTTTGCGGTCCCCCATAAAAGTTAAATGCTCCCCTCGCTTTCCTAAAAAGAGGTCAGAAGGCGTCAGGGATCAGCCAGCGTCCTGCAGGGATCAGGGAGAAGGGTCAGGGCCCCGGCAGCTGGAGCTCTGACCCCATCCAGGGACCTGACAGGCTTCGTGGGAAATTAACAAGAGACCATCAGACAACGAGGGACAGGGACTGCTTTTAAGGCTCTCATTTGTGTTACCTCTTTCAGGTCCCAAAACGGTTCTACTAGGAGGGTCCGAAAAGTCCTGTTACAAAACAAACAAACAACAACAACAACAACAAAACAGCAATGGAAGATAAACGGACATTAAGTGACACTCCACACCACACTGAAAAAGGCCGCACACGTAGGGAGGAGGGAGGCGGACTGAGCGAGGTCAAAGCAGCGCACACAGGGCCGCGCCAATCCCACTCCCTGAGACGCTAGCACAGCCCCCCGAGGCCAGAAGGCTTAGCGGACCAGAGCGGCAATCCTCACCCTCGCCGCTCCAAACCTCTGCTCTCCGCCCAGGCTTCTTTTCTCCTGAATCGATCATTGGGTGGTTGCGAGCCCCGAGCAAAGGAGACTCGTTCGGAAGGACTCGCAAGATACGGTAATAACTCAAACTACTATGGTAAGTGAAATAGCGACGTCACAGTTGGGGACCGGAAGTGCTGGAGCCTCCACAGAGCGTCTGGACTCCACTTCCCAGAATCCCCCGGACTCGCCCGTCTGAGACAAAGGGCCCGCGACTCGAACAGAGCTTCTGGACTCTGTCACTGTAACTCTGCAGCAAGCTTTCCTAAAGTGGAGTTGGAGATAGCACCTCAGTAAATGTCCTGTACCCACTACTTATTGAGGACACACCCTGTTGACTGGTGCGTGCAGTCTCCATTCCAAACCCCTATTGCCACTCCTATCGCTTCCATAAAGCCTAAGAAATCAAATATTTTCTTTCTCTGCCTTCATCTAGCTAAAAATTTTCATGGGACACAGTTCTGGGAAGTAAGACATTAGGAGAAGTAAGCTGTCCTCTCCTGACAAGAGATGTGCTTGGCAGGCTGTGAGGAGAGGAGGAGTTACAAGAGTAAAAAGGTAATCATCTCAGTGGACTGTAGGTATTGGCGAGGTTCTAATGTTACTGATGCTAGCATGCTGGTGGGACCGAGGTGGAAATACAAGTCAAAGTTGTTGGAAAGTAGTGCTGCAAATTATTATGGAGGAATATTTGCTAGAAAATGACGAGGTCTAAGATATGACCATGGGAGAGGAGAGCGTATCCGTTGATATTTCGCATGAATTTTAGGTGGATTTTTTAATTTCTGAGAAAAATGTTACTGTGATTAAGGATTGCATTGAATCTATAGATATAGATATTGACATCCTTGCAATATGAAGTCGCTCAATCCATTAATAATGGATATATCTCCATTTATTTGTGCCTTCTTTAATTTTTTTTTTTTTGAGACAGTGTCTCACTCTGTCGCCCATGGATACCAGCTTGACTTCAATCACGTGCAAAATACACATTCACAGCTTCTCCCTCTCCCCACTTTGTACAACTGATGTCATATATTATGTCTATACATATTGTCTACCCATTCACTAGATTTATCTCTCAAGTTTGAAGGACGGTTTGGGTGAATGTTGAATTCTCAATAGACGTGTGTGTGTGTATGTGTGTGTATGTGTTTTTAGCAAAGAATATATCATCTCGTCTCAGATGTTTGCTGAGAAATCTGCTGACATCTTCGTTAAGGATGTCTTTGTGTATAACAAGTGACTTTGGACTTGTTGCTATCAAATTTTTCATTTGTCTTTGGTTTCTTTCTTTTTTTTTTTTTGAGACGGAGTCTCGCTCTGTCGCCCAGGCTGGAGTGCAGTGGCCGGATCTCAGCTCACTGCAAGCTCCGTCTGCCGGGTTTACGCCATTCTCCTGCCTCAGCCTCCCGAGTAGCTGGGACTACAGGCGCCTGCCACCTCGCCCAGCTAGTTTTTTGTATTTTTTAGTAGAGACGGGGTTTCACCGTGTTAGCCAGGATGGTCTGGATCTCCCGACTTCGTGATCCGCCCGTCTCAGCCTCCCAAAGTGCTGGGATTACAGGCTTGAGCCACCGCGCCGGGCCTTGTCTTTGGTTTCTAACAATTTTTTAATAATATGCCTCAGTTGGGTCTCTTTGTGTTTATCTTGCTTGAAATGCATTGAACTTCTTGGATTTACAGAATAATGTATTTTTCATATTTGAGAAGTTTTCAGCTTTTATTTCCGTAAATAAGCTCTCTTGGCTTTCTTTCTCTCTATCCGGGACACCTATAATGCACATAAGGTCCTTTAGGCTTTGTTTACTTTTAATCACTTCATTTCTTTTTGCTGCTGTGACACAGTAATTCATAGGACTTCTCTTCATGTTCACTCATTCTGAAGGTAATGTAGTAGGAGTAGGGGTCATGATACACTTATCTGTGGCTACAGAGCCTGCTCAAACCCGATCATATATATACCACTTACAAATGGGATACCAATGTGCGCATAAAATTTAAAGACAAGGAATGACCAACAGTACCCAATTCATGATGGAAGGCTTGGTGCACATGCTAATTTGGTAGGTCATGGTTAAGTGCTCTGTCTCTACTAAGACCACTAGCAAAATCATAAGCTGCTTTTCCAAAGAAGAGTAAGTAGGCTGGGGTTGGTGGCTCATACCTGTACTCATTGCTTTGTGAGGCTGAAGAACGAGGATCTCTTGATGCCAGGAGTTTGAGACCAGCCTGGGCAACAAAGCAAGGCCCTGTCTCTACCAAAAAGAACAAGAGTAAGTATATGTAGAGGATGACTGGGCTTTGCTACAAAATCCCATCCATTTGTGGTTTGATTCATCAAATGTGACCAGTTGATGGCTCCAAACATCATTCTGTATCACTGATATTTCAATTACTTTTGGAAATCCTGGTCCATAGTGTCCTAGGGGTAGAGAAACTTACATGGCAGCTAGGACACATTACACAGTCTTATCGTATCTTAGTCGAGGCAAAATGTTTTGGGGTCAGACAAAAAAGGCAGAGTAGCATATCCCAATGAGGAATAAGTAGCATCCAGTAGCCAAGGAGGGCCCCTAGACATTGTGACACTTTGGTTGTAGGAATACCATATGCTTCTTGCCCTATACATTAGAAGGGATATCTCAATAGTCCCACATCAATGAACCTATGGAAATTTTACCAAAATGGAAGGCCCATGAATATTTATAGGATTCTTTCTTTCTGTCATGCATGTGTCTTACTAATATGCCTAGTAGTTCCTACTTTCTCCTCACCATGTCTGATCATCATATCAATGTGCCATTTGACAATGAAGATTCAGTCATTGCCCAAAAGAGTGATTATTTCTCCTTTTATGTACTCAGTCACAGGTTTATGGCCATGGTTTCCTGTGGAAAACTCTGAAATGTATCAGGGCCCATACTCATCTAACATTGGCCTCCCCTTTATATAAGTGAATGTGGATTTGTAAACTGGACATGTCTTGGAATTGATTTGAGAGCTGTGACAATGTTAGGTGGTTGCAGTTAGAGTTCTCTTCCCCTGCAATAGAACTCTTCTGCCGATACAAACGCAGTGACAGTATCATAGATTTCCTATCAATTTATTTACTATGAATACCAAGATCAACAAGGCGAAGTTAAGCCCTGCAAAGTGATTGACCTCATCTTCTTCTTTCCTTCTTTTTTTTTTTTTTTTCTGAGATGGAGTCTCGCTCTGTCACCCAGGCTGGAGTACAGTGGCGTGATCTCGGCTCACTGCAAGCTCTGCCTTCCAGGTTCACGCCATTCTCCTGCCTCAGCTACCCGAGTAGCTGGGACTACAGGCACGTGCTACCACACCTCGCTAATTTCTTTGTATTTTTAGTAAAGACAGGGTTTCACCATGTTAGCCAGGATGGTCTCGATCTTGTGATACGCCCTACTCGGCCTCCCAAAGTGCTGGGATTACAGGCGTGAGCCACCGTGCCTGGCCTTCTTTCCTAATTTCTGAAGCCCCAGTAGGAGCATCCAGGAAATATACTATACTGAAAAGTTTGTCTACTGTGTCCTAAACTAACAAATTCATGGTAACCAGAATCATTCCAATAGGCATTTTATTAGGATTATTCAATATGATATTTGGCATATTATCACACCATGCCTTTGACAACCAGTTCCCTATGTTGCACTGGAAATAAAGTCAATAGTGCTCTTAAATTTAGTGAGAGCAGAAATCCAATTCTAGAAAACACAATCAATTCAGAAAACTCATCCTTAGGGTGCTTCTTCCTCTGGAAGTTCTTGTGGGGCAAAATGTCTTTTGGTCAGCATTCAACCAGAGAAACAGAATCAGTATGACATATACAAGCAATTATTGCAAGGAACTCTCCTTTGGCACTGTGGATCTGGCTAAGTCTATTAGTCTGTTCTCACACTGCTATAAAGAACTACCTGGCCAGGTGCAGTGGCTCACACCTGTAATCCCAGCACTTTGGGAGGCCAAGGCAGGTGGATTACCTAAGGTCAGGAACTCGAGACCAGCCTGGCCAACATAGTGAAATCTCGTCTCTACAAAGAATACAAAAATTAGCTGGGCATGGTGGCACACATCTGTAATCCCAGCTACTCGGGAGTCTGAGGCAGGAGAATTGCTTGAACCTGGGAGGCGGAAGTTGCAGTGAGCCGAGATCACACCACTACACTCTAGCCTGGGTGACAGAGCAAGACTCCGTCTCAAAAAAAAAAAAAAAAAAAAGGAACTACCTGAGACTGGTTAATTTATGAAGAAAAGAGGTTTAATTGACTCACAGTTCTGCAGGCTATACAGGAAGCGTGGCTACGAGGCCTTAGGAAATTTACAATCATGATGGAAAGTGAAAGAGAAGCCAGCATATCTTACCATGGCAGAACAGGAGAGAATGAGAGCAGGAGGAGGTGCTACACACTTTTAAAACAAGCAGATCTCATGAGAATTCCATCAAAAGACAGCACTAGGGGGATGATGCTAAATCATTAGAAACCACCCCCATGATCCAGTCACCTCTCACCAGGCCCTACCTCCAACACTCAGGATCACAATTCAACATGAGATTTGGGTAGAGACACAGAGTCAAACCACATCACTAAGCAATTCCAAAATGCATATGGCTGGCCACCAGAAAGGTGAAGATGGAACTCTAACCCATGAGAGGAAGATGCCGCCAGCAGGTGTGATATTTTTTCATTCAGAGAAGCTTCAGCTCTATTCTAAAGGATCTTCAAGTGATGGATCAGGCCTACCTGTATTTAGCATAATATCCCTACTCAAAGCCAACTGATTATGGGCTGAATATCTACAAAATACCATCACAATGTCTATATTAGTGCTTGATTAAATAACTAGGGACTATAGTCTATGCACTATAAATCCATTAAAATCAATTATCACACAGATCTTCATCAGCAGAAAACTACCTTTTGAGTTTTTCAAAAATTTTTTGTATCTTTTCCTCAGGATCTACAGAAAACTGTTTAATGAAAAAAACTAATATTCAGTATACAAGAGTACCACAGATATTAAAGATGAGATTGGAAGTCAATTTATTAAGAAAACCTTTAATATTGTCAAATCAGAACAATCTCGTTAGAATCTAGCATACTTAGTATATTCATTTTGTAAAATCTACATTCCTCTTCCTTTTCCAGGTCTCTCTCTAGAAGAGAATTCACTAACGAGTCTGGCACTGTTTTCCACCTGATAAGAGACATTTACCATCTATTCTCTGAAGCTTGCTACCTGGAGACTTCATTTGCATAATAAAAACCTTGGTCTCCAGAACCCCTTATCATAATCCAGACACTCTTTTCTATTGATTCCAGGACTTTAGATAACTCTTTCAACCAATTGCCAATAGAAAATTTTTGAATCCACCTATGACCTGGAAGCACCTCCATGGCCAACTTTGAGTTGTCCCGCCTTTCCAGACCAAATCGATGTATACATGTATTGATTGATGTCTGCTTGTAACTTCTGTCCCCCTAAAATGTATAAAACCAAGCTATAACCCAACCACTTTGGGCACGTGTTCTCAGGACATTTTATGGCTATGTCACAGGCCTTGGTCACTCATATTTGGCTCAGAATAAATCTCTTTATATTTTATAGAGTTTGACTCTTTTTGTCAACACCATGGTGTATAACTCTGAATTGGCATCCAAACCAGGTCTTTGTTCTAACTGGATCCATAGCAACAGAAGCTCTGCTGCTGTCATGCTATGTTCCCTGCCCATACACCTCTGGTTTTCAAAGGATCTGGTTTTTTTGTTTTTGTTTTTGTTTTTAATTTTTTGGGATGGAGTTTTTTTACCCAGGCTGGAGTACAATGGCATGATCTTGGCTCACTGCAACCTCTGCCTCCTGGTTTCAAGTGATCCTCCCACCTCAGTCTCCTGAGTAGCTGGAATTATAGGCATGTGCCACCACACTCAGTTAATTTTGTATTTTTAGTAGAGACAGGGTTTCACCATGTTGGCCAGGCTGGTTTCAAACTCCTGACCTCAGGTGAGGATCTGTTGCTTTAAAAGACAAAAAACAAACAACCTTCATAACATACGTATATCTATTTCAATCTCTGAAATCACCTTTGTAAAAATTTTAACAATGAGAAAATTATGACAGTGCAAGAGATCTCATCTAACCAATTCCATCTTGCTTTTAACCACCAAACTGCCCTTGGTAATTCCTGGGCATGGGCCAAGCTAACTTTGGGAGGACTTTAGTTTATTGTTTAAATGATAATAGCCCTTTCCCCAAACTAAACTGCCTTTGTAATACGATTGAAAGGCCCCACTAGTTTAGGAGGATGAGAGGGGCCTGACTTCTAAGATAATATATGTAAAGGATTACCAGCCATTATTCTGATTTCCAGCTGTTATTCCAGAGGTCTTAAAATTTGCAACTTCCCCAATTACTCCAGTAAATAACATCACTATTGTAGAACTAAGACTGGCCTTTTGAGATGTCTTTTCGGGCTTCTGCATTTCTGACAACCAGATGGCCCCACCTAAACCCATGACTCTTGACTCAACTGGTCCTGTGGCCCCCACCCAGAAGTGGACTTAGTGCCCAAGGGTCATTTTTAACATCCCCAGCCAATCAGCAGCACCCATTCCGTAGCCCCCTGCCTGTCAAACTATCTTTGAAAAACCCTAGCCTCCAAATTTTCAAGGAGGCTGATTTGAGTAATAATAAAACCCCATCTCCCATTTAGCCAGTTCTGTGTATTAAATTCTTTCTCTATTGTGAATTGTCTGTCTTGATAAATCAGCTGTGCCTGGGCACTGGGCAGGATCTCCAGTATTTGCACACTCCTGACTTATCCCTAAAGAAGCATCACATGCTTTAATTACCAAGACAGTTAACCAGACTTCATCAATTTATCTGCATATTCGAAGAACCAGAGAATATTTATTTTCTTTCCTTTTTTTTTTTTTTTTTTGAGATGGAGTCTAGCTCTGTTGCCCAGGCTGGAGTGCAGTGGCATGATCTTAGCTCACTGCAAGCTCCACCTCCTGGGTTCATGCCATTCTTCTGCCTCAGCCTCCCGAGTAGCTGGGACTACAGGCTCCCACCACCACACCTGGCTAATTTTTTGTATTTTTAGTAGAGATGGGGTTTCACTGCGTTAGCCAGGATGGTCTCGATCTCCTGACCTCATGATCTGCCAGCCTCAGCCTCTCAAAGTGCTGGGATTACAGGTGTGAGCCACCGTGCCTGGCCCAACTAGAGAATATTTCATTTTGAAATGACTTCCAGGACCCTAGTCATTGTGAACTTACGTCATATGACAATATAGAGTAACTTTATTCTGAGATTCTGAGCCCTGATAGGTGATTAACATTAATAAGTTTGCAAATTTATTGCACAAAATTTACTGCTTTGATAAAACTGATGTTCACTGAAAAATCTAAAAATGCATAAAATTATAAAATGGAAAAATACCAGCAGCAAATATTCATTGCCAGAGGAAAGAATATTTGTTCACATATTACATATACACACATTAAAAAGTCTCAGAAACACACAAAGATATTTGATTATGTTATGAAGGTTACAGTCTGATTTCACAAAGCTCACATTATGTTTTTCTCCTTTTACTGTATGTCTGTTATTGGTCTCATGTTATAGGAATAAATGCTTTTCACATAAATTATTATAGAATACTTATTCCATTTTAAAATGGGGTGATATCATCCACGTGGTTTTCTACTTTTCACAGTTTTAACATCATAATTGTAATTTCCTATCCCATCATTTCCAGATAAAACACTTGTACCTTATACATTCTGATATACACTGCTTACAAAAGACTTATTTTTACTGCCAACAATAAAGAAGAACATGTAAATGTCACTCCTACCCCAACCATGGATACATTTGACGAAATTACCGAACTCCCATAGGTTTCTTTTAGTATTTCATAGAGATAGGAAGAGAATATTAGGTTAGGTTTCCAAAAATTGTCAAATTGGCATAGCTTCTACCTGAGTTGTTTGATAAAATAAATGCTACCACAATTAGAAGGCCGTCATATCAAAGCCTGCATGAAAATACACAAGAAACCATGTGAATTCAGAACTGAGGAAGTTTTTTCCAATGTAACTACATCTGCCACGTAAAATTACTATAAATTTTGCCTTAACACTGTTGAAAAAATGTAATTGTGAAATATGCAGTGGACTGTTATTGCCAAGTTAACAAACCATTTTCAGCCTGTATTGTGAGAAATTACAAATGATTGTTGAATTTATATTGTATGCAACCAATGGAACATTAGACAAAGCCACTAGTAGTAAAAATCCAACTTCAGAACAGAGGATGAGGGGAAGCCAGCAGCCAAGTGCAATAGGGTAATATTACCCAAAATAATGCTTTGGATTGCAGTACTGAGTATATTCTGCATTTTAACTCAGGTGTCTCTGAATTATTTTTTGTAGATTTCCTCTCCTAGATACAACTTTAAAATATCACATTTTCTCCTTTTGAGTCATTTAACACATACTAAACATGTAAGTGCTAATCAGTGTTAAGGTCCTGAAGATGCAGAAAACAAGGTACCTGTAGTTGACATTCTAGTGGTCATCAATTTTGACATGTTCATCATTAGGGTTTTGTAAATGTGTCAACAAACTTATTCTAAGGCCTTTCTCCTGAATGACAAGTGTAAATGTCAAAGTTCTGTTTGCAACCCTACTGCACAATTTACAAGAGTTCTCTACTACAATGGTCCCAGGATGATGGGAGTATGCTGAGCTATGGTAAAACAGTGAATTTAGCTTAAATGTTTTCTCTCCTGCAAGACTGGATGAAATCGGCCGGGCGCGGTGGCTCAAGCCTGTAATCCCAGCACTTTGGGAGGCCGAGACAGGGGGATCACGAGGTCAGGAGATCGAGACCATCCTGGCTAACACGGTGAAACCCCGTCTCTACTAAGAAATACAAAAAACTAGCCGGGCGAGGTGGCGGGCGCCTGTAGTCCCAGCTACTTGGGAGGCTGAGGCCGGAGAATGGTGTGATCCCAGGAGGCGGAGCTTGCAGTGAGCTGAGATCCGGCCACTGCACTCCAGCCTGGGCTACAGAGCAAGACTCCGTCTCAAAAAAAAAAAAAAAAAAAAAAAAGACTGGATGAAATATATCCCAGTATGGCCTGTGATAAATTATGATATAAACATACACTGAAGTGTTTACCATATGCCTCTTTTTAATGTTTTGCCCCTTTGTGAACTCTCAGATGAGATTATAGACAACTGAGCAGAGACTTTATCACACACCTCATTACTAAGGATTCTGTCCAATGTGGACATTCTGGTGCAGTTGAGGACTTGAGGCCTGAGGTGGTATGAGGCCATACCACCCTAGCCACACTTTCATAGTTTTGCTCTTATGTCAAGCCTCTGAGGCATAAGATTTGAGTGATCTAGCAATCCCACTATTGAGTATATCCAAAGCAAAGGAAATCAGTATGTGGAACAGATATGTACACTCCCATGTTCATTGGAGAACTATTCTTCACAACAGTTAAGACATGGAACCCACCTGTGTGTCCATCAATAGATAAATGAAGAAAAGGTGGCATATATACACAATAGAATACACTTTGGGCATAAAAAGAAAACAAAATTGTGTCATTTATGGCAACACAGATGAGCTTTGGAGGACATTATGTTAAACAACATTAGCTAAGCAAAGTAAGATAAATACCAACTGTCCTCACACACATATGGAAGCTAAAAAAGTTGATTTCATAGAAGTAGTGAGTAAAACAGTAGTTCTAGAAGCAGGGAAGTGTAGGGGTTACGTGAGATAGCCAAAGATTCGGTAACACGATACATAAGTACAGCTAGATAGGAGAAAGACATTCTAGTGTTCTAAAGCACCAAAGGTGACTATAATCAACAATAATTTATTGTTTCTTTTCAAATCACTAGAACAATGGATTTTGAATTTTCCCAAAACAAAGAAATGGTAAATGTTTAAGGTAATACACTAATTACATCAATTTGATCCTTATACATTATATACACATATTAAAATTTCTTACCATATCTCATAAATATATACAACTTACATATCATTTAAAAATAATGATAAAATTATATCCAGATTCAAGCGCCTCTTGTAGCGCTTCCCACAGTCCTCACATTTGGATGAGTTTTCTCCATTGTGGTCTCCTTGTTGGTCTTTACAGTATGACCGGTGTACAAGCCTCTTTCCACAATCCTCACATTTGAAGGGTTTTTTCCGGCAGTGGAGTTTCTTATGATTCAAAATACTTGAAGCCCGGCTAAAGCTCTTCCCACATTCCTTACAATTATAAGGTCTCTCTCCAGTGTGGACCCTCTGGTGCAAGTTAAGACCTGACTTACTAATGTAGCCCTTCCCACACTCCTCACATCTGTATGGTTTTTCTCCACTGTGGATTCGCTGATGAATCAAAAGATATGAGGACCATCTGAAGCTCTTCCCACATTCTTTACAATTGTACGGTTTCTGTCCTGTGTGAATCATCTGATGCTTATGCAAATCTAGCCTATCAATGAAGGCTTTTCCACACTCCTCAGATTTGTACGGTTTCTCTGCTATGTGGACCATGCAATGCCTAT